ATTTTTTTTGTTTGAAAAATCTGTTAACAATTGGTTCTGTTTCATTTTTCATGAGGTAATTTCTAAGGTACTGACTTTTCAACTACTTTTAATTCCCTCTAAATGAATACACAATGCGATTAACAATAAGTTCATATTCAAACCATTATTACTCTTCATAAGCATTTTAAGCTCCCCATTTCCCTATTATGGTAATCTCTTCTCGTTGTACTTAGGGATTGCAGGCAGTTTGAGCATGGATGGACCATCATGCGATATTTCTATTTCTCAAAAAAAGAGGGCGTATTCAGGCCGTGCACGAAAGTTCAACTCAACAAACATGTTTTTTTACATGACCAAAATTATCATTTTAATCATGATTTATAAAAAAAAAACATAAAGTCCTTCGGAGGTCTGATAAAAACATACACATGATCAAACATAAGCAGTCCTAACTGTTTCATCATACTGTTACTAACGTTAATATTAGACTGATCAGTCTATTATCATGCCTAACTGTTACTGCTAATAAAACACATACTTTCAAGCCCAACACTGTTTCAGCAGTTGGCTGTTAAACATGAATCTGGTTTTGCTCAAGGTTTCGGTTTGTAAAAAGACAGTTTTTCCTTGCCACTGTAACTTCGCTAAATGTTGCTAAGTGCTGTGATGGATTACTATTGGGTCTTTGCAGATAACACAGAGTTTACCTGCTATACTGTAACACAATGTAAAAAAGAGTGAGGTCTTTAACCTGCTCATAACAAATGCACATCTATTAGCCCTATTTGGTGCATATGTAGGACAAGATAATGTCAATCATATTCTTAACAATAGGACGGCCTGGGTGAATGTTGTGAGGCAGGTGGTGGGCCAGAGTCATCTCCCAAGCGTCCACTAGTCGAACATTAAGTCCTTTGAACACAGCTCTTAGCACCTTGTCCAGCTGTAGTGTGTACCAGTCACTGTAGTTTAACGATACAGAAGGTGTTAAACCTCTGAGGTTTGCAGTCCTGATGACCACCAGCGTGTCTGGAGCCCTGTTCAACAGACGAATCACCGCCCTGCGGATGCTCTGAAGCCGTCTGATGTAGAGCTCAATTGGGAAAGGGCTGAAGTGGGCCCAGATGCTAAAAACTACAACTGTGTTGGTGCCACCTACCAACCCGTCAATTTCATTGGAAATGTAACGCAGCTCACTGGTTGGGACGTAGATAAAACTAAGAGGAGGACCATGGACACGGTATGTTACCAAGATGTTTTTTGCATTGTCCCATATCATGTAAGGTCCAGTTTTCTTCGGACTATTCCGGTTAATCTCATTAGCATCTGAAAGTATGACAGAAGGAACAAGTTTAGCTGTTATATAAATAATATTAAACTGTCACCTGAAATGAATGTGTATTAACTACCTGGAAGTGAAGCATCAAGGTACTCAAACCACTGCCTAAGGGTGGAGTCTCCATACATGTGGACCGCCTTTCCTTTCAGACACTGACTGATGGCAGAGGAGTTGTTGAATTGGTGGACTTTGGTGCCACCAAGTGATCGCCACACACCATGGAAGTAATACCCAGAGAGTCCAGACTTCCCACTGCCTTGATCGACCTCAGGTTGCCCTAAGAAATATTGATCAAAATAACCTTTAAGTTATTAAAGTCATTGTTTTAAAATATATTGTCAACAGATCCCATAAAAAACCCAAAACAAGGTCTCTCCTTGACCTTGCTTATTTCACTTGAGACTTAAGATGACATCATATATGACCATAGACTGTAAATATTACTGGACGAACCCTGACCCGTCTGTTACATAGGCAGAAAATGAGTCCAATCGACGGCCGCATCCATATTGGATTTGCAGTCTCAACCTAACTTCGGATCAACCTAACGACAGCAGTAAGGCGGGACCGGCGGGACTTAACTCCACCCATTCAGCTCGACGTTAGCAGTCCACTTCACAGCATCGCTAACAGCTAGGCTGCTATCATCCCCTACTCCTGCTCGTCCTGAGAAAACTCTACAAACAGTAAGTTAACATTTAACTTTTCTACAACACAGTTAAAACTAATTATATTCAACCCAAATATTTAATTAAAGTCTTAAAACTACACTTTTTTAAATATACAGTCATGGTTTTTAGTTATTTGTCAGAGCAGTTAGACTTTGTCAGTGTTAGCAGAGCAATACATTAACAAAGTTTTATCCATAAACTGTAAATAAATATGAGACATCCAGAAGAAATCAATATTACAAAGCATACAGTTCATGTTACTGTTCTGACAAAAAGAGGAATGTCTGTGTTTTATATTTACTGATGTCAACAGCGATGAGGTGAACATGACAATTGAAAAATAATTATTAAGTATTTATTACAAGACATTTGTTTTCTATTGAACCCTGTGAAGTCATGGAGTCTGTGGACAGTGTCAGCTTCACACCAAAAACTTTATTAGAAAAAATAGTGTTTAAGACTGGCATCTATTATGATGAGTTGCAGCTACCTTGTTCAATATTATTCCTGCAGATGTGGCTCATAACAAAAAAACAGCCTGAGCTGTCACATGTAGTTAACTGTACATTTTGTCTGAGGCATTAATTGAACACCTTTGTATTTCTCCTATAGACACAGTGGATTATTGGTGACTGTCCATCGAGGTTCCCAGAGAGCTGCAGAGACAGAGGAAGAAACCTGAGCCTCAACAACATCTGCATTTGTTGGTTCTTCTGGGGTGGACTTCAGTTGCTTCTCTTCAACAGCTCGCTGTGAGGGAGGTCTCCCCCGGATGGCCTGAGCGATGTCACCCACAGGCTGAGAGCTGAGATGGGTTTTAAGCCTCTTGACAAACCGTTACACTGCGCCCGCCTGTCAAGCTGGTCAGCTACAAGCCTTATTGTGAATAACTCTTATCCTTCATCAAATCAAAACTGATGAGTCATCAAAACATTCACCCCCCGTACAGTGTGTGTCCATCGAGACATGAGCTAATCACACCTATTTGTTTGTTTTGTACCAAGCTGTAAACATGTTAATCTCTGCTGTAAAAACAGATTTTTTTTAATGTTGTTTTTCAGATTAAATAAATATTTCTATATAAATGCACTCCTTTATGTCTACTTATGAGTATACATTTCAGATTTGAAATGACAAGACTAAAATGTGGAAGTCTACTTTTACACAACTTCTTATTCTTTCGACATTTTCTTTTACCAAATACTGATGTAGTTCATTTCTGAAAGTGGGATGGAACAGAGTCATTGCAAAAATATGCCCTTAAACACAGCCCCATTCTTAAATCAAGATACATGGAGAGTAAATAAGATCAATAACTTGTGAATAAAAACACAGTTAAAAATGATTTAGAAATGTAGTCTTCCCTGATCAATATCACATAATATCAACTTCTCCCATCTAAACTGGACAAAGGGTTTTAAAATGGGAAGAAAATGGTTTGATTGCAAGTTGTTTGGAGGAGATCTTTTTATTTGAACAGCATGAATACAGTCTTCCAAAGTGCAAACCCTCCTCCTCCTCCTGAAGCCTGTGGAGCTCCTTCATGTACTGCTGTCTTATCTGCTGGCCATCTTCTCTCAGCAGAACTTCAACTGTTGAAAAGTCATTCAGAAGAAGCTCGAGCATGTGACATGGATCCAGGAGAACATGGACTTTTAGTGAGGGTCTTCAGGATGACAAAGAAAGAGAGAAAATATCAGTTATTCATTAAATCATTTTTTTGTTCTCATCTATTTTTCTGTATTCATCTGTGTGTAAGAGTACATTTATAAATTCAACAGTATACTACCCAGACAACAAAGGTACAGTATTCAGGTAATCAACATCTATTTAAAGTTAAGAAGATAAACCTTATTGTAATCATGCTATTTTCAGCTCTCTCACTCACACAATGATATTCCACATCAAATTGTCTCAGATTTTGTGAGGAAAAATTAAGCAGTTTATTGTGGATAGTACTTCATCTTAACATGAAACAAATATAACCTGAATTATTTAAATCATTAACAGATCCCAACATACAGTAACTCATTTATTATTAACATGAGCTCAGTACATGGCTGTATTCTTCAAACTATTTCTTATACTTTATATCTATGTGCTTTAAATCTTATTTTCATACATATTTCATATGTTATTGATATTTCTACTGCTATATTCTGTGTATGAGTTCAGTGAAAATTAATATGGTTATTAATATAGTTCTTAATGGTTACAGATGCTCTTACAAAGTGAATTTTTTTAATTTGTTAACAGTTTGCTCAAATCTTAAGACACTACATCAACCATGTAACTTTAATGTCATCCTCTATAACCTACACAGCACATTAGGTTCAGTTCAGTTTATGTTACTGACGGATAATTACTACACAAAGTTTGTTTTTTAATGTCCACATTTACGTGGAGTATAACATTCATCATAACGTCAGATAACAACTGAGGTGAACCTTTAGCTTCTAACATCACACAAACTCATTTTCAACATCTTAACAACAAACATTTCTAAACCATTGACCGTAAATAATGTAAATAATGAGCTACACAGTTCGTCGACTGGTTTACAAGCTAATGCTAAACAAGCTAGGTCCGTAAATATAAATACCGACACACAAGTATACAGTAAATATAACACTACTATATCACTTACCGAAGAAAACTGAAGCATCAACTTGTTGGATGGTCTGTTAACCGCACAGCAAGCCATGTATGTTGTCAGATATGTGTTAAACAAACTCTCCAAACGAAGTAAAAAAGAGGAGAAATCAGACGGATCAAGCTGTTAGCCTCCTGACCTGCTGACCGTGCAGAGCTGTCAATCAAATCTGACACAACCAAATATGGGCATAGTCGTTTTCCTTCATAGAATAAAATCCGATGAGTTATAAAAAAAATTCACCCCCCCCCACAGTGTGAGGAGAAGGGGCCGTCAACTTCTCAGATATATCTCGTTTTGTGAACCAGGCTGTAAACATGTTAATTCCTGTGGTAAAAACGGGCTTTTTTGGCTGTGGGCTTATGGCACTTCCGGCGCTTCTGCAGCCAGCCTCAAGCGGAACCTCGAGGAACTGCAGTTTTTTGTACTTCCACATAGGCTTCATTTTTCGAGACCGGAGGTTGCCCCTTGTATATGACGTGATGTTGATAAAAAAAAGAACGTTCTAAACAGCAATACAGAAAACGGCCACTTTCTCCTCTAATCTTTTGCCCTTTTGTGTTGTATAAAATATCAAATCAAACATTGACTTATTCTACAACCTTTGCCAGACAATGTTAAGTGTTAATTTACAAAAAGATTTAACCTGCAATATGCTCTTTAAGGAAAATGTTACCAAATACCTTTTATAAGAAAATATTAATTATTAAAAGCAAAACGTTGCAGTTGTTAAATAGTTAACATTTTTAATAGTACAATAGAACTATCTCCTCACACTCCTGACACTTACCTGAGGAGATGGCTGGGGGTCCCAAGAAGCTTCTGTTCCATTGGCCTGTACAGCACAGGCAGCAAGCTGCAGCTGCATCAGTAGTGGAGGAGTACAAGGCAACAAAAACCCGCCAGGCCATGATGCTGCGAGACAGCAAAGATGCAAGAGTTCGCCAGGCAGATATTGAGGTCAGAACAGGTCGCAAGTGGTCAGCCAGCAGAGCGCTGAGGGAGGCGGAGGATTGCCTTCACCATGCTGACATTGTTGGGGCAGTAGCCCAGGGCAGGCTAGGCCTGGGTTGCTCCACTAAGGCAAACTGGAAAAAGGCTAATCCAAAGGAACGCCGTGGCATGGTTCAAAGGGAGGTACGCAGGGCAGAGGAGGAAGGCAGACATGTCAAGGCAGTAGCCATGAACAAACAGGGCAGCTGGACGAGGTGGGAGAGTGTGCGAGAAAGGGCACTGACTTGGAAGGACATCTGGAGCATGGAAGAACACCGGATCAAGTTTCTGTTGTGTTCCGTGTATGATGTCCTGCCGACTCCATCAAACCTCCACACATGGGGATTGGCCGAAAGGCCCTGCTGCACACTCTGTGGAAGGCCAGCTAACCTGGAGCATGTCCTCTCCTCGTGTGGGTCAAGTCTGGCGAATGGGAAATTCAGGTGCGACACGACCAGATCCTGACACAACTGGCTGCTGGTGTGGAACAGGCCAGAAAGAGGCCAAAACAACGTACTGATGGTCCTCGTTTCATCCACTTTCTCAGGTCAGGGGTAAGTGCAACAAAACAGCAGAGTTGAGGACTAAAGGAGTCCTGGGCACGGCAAGTGACTGGGAGATGCGGGCTGACCTTAAGCAGCAGCTCAAATTTCCAGAGGAGATAACCCTTACCAACCTCAGAACCAACATTGTCCTCTGGTCTAAAGGTACCAAGCAAGTGATCCTAATGGAACTTACAGTACCCTGGGAAGAGAGGATGGAGGAAGCACATGAGTGCAAGCTCAAGAAATATCAGAATCTCATCCTCGACAGCCAGCGTAATGGGTGGAAGGCATGGAACCTGCCGGTGGAGGTCGGCTGCAGGGGCTTCGCAGGACAGTCGCTCTGGAGAGCTCTGGACTGCTTGGAATTGAAGGCCAGGCTAGGAAGCGGCTGATAGCCAACATCACCAAGCAGGCAGAGGCAACATCCCGGTGGATTTGGATAAAGCGGAATGAGCACTTGCAGAGCAAACCTGGGGAGGGAAAACATCAGAGTTGAGTGGCAAACTGCGGGGGTAGTACCAGGACGCTGGTTCTACCGTCGAGCCCCCCGAGATGTCATGGGCTTAAATCAATGAAACATCGAGGAAGGGGGGTGCCCATTTGAAAACCTGCATAAGCCACTCAACTCATTTCCAGTTTGGAGGGGGTGCCTTGAGGGAGGGAAAAGGAGAGAGCGATTCCACTGGCTCACAGATGGTGTAGGGGAGAGTACCTGTAAAGGTGAGCCGGTTGCGATAACCCCTATCGTATTTTGCATAAAATAAATCTTGTTTTGAGCATGAATGAAGTAAACGCTTCCAGCTCTATCTCAGTTTTGTAGATGGAATCTGTTTCATTTATTTATTTTTGCCTTATATGTGATATGCTCTCTACAAGGCACAGAGATAAACAGCTATTGTCACTTTTTTTTATTGTGTAGTATTTTTTATTTTCAAGGTCACATGGATATCTTTTAAAGGTGGAAGTAGAAAAGTTGTGCTTACCTTTCCTTGGAGGCAGCACAGTAACATTGGCTGGTCCTGAAGAGTGAATGAAGACTTTCAGGTTGATTTTGCTGGGTGGGAAAAACTGCCATGATTAAGAATCTCTTAAACACACTACAATGTAAATGTCAGAAGTGATTTACCAAATGGTAACACTTTAGTCATAATAAATCACTCCATATTTGGAATGAAAATATACACTTCATAGTTTTGTTGATTAGAGTCAACTTTAATTGTTCAGATTAAGTGTTTTGATAGGTATTATCTTAAATTATACATTTCATCTTTGCCACCTGTAGTTACAAACACAACATTCTCCACCATGTGACACATACTACATACTTAAAGTCATTACATGTAAAACTAGATGCAACTTTTCTACTGCTGTGCTCCCTCACCTTTGGAAAAGCTTCTCCTCTTTGTCCTTGAGTCTTACATTGAATCCGGCTCTCATGTGGTTAATCCTGTCATCACAGCTCAGTTTCTTTGGCTTGTAGCAGAACCAAGGCTCGCCTATACGGAGGTCAGTGTAGTTGCACTGTGGCTGGTTGGTTTGACGTAGGCAAACATTACAGGAGGCAGTTTCAGAGATTGAACCTGAGCGGAAGAGGCTTTTAAAGAGAACCCTTTCAGGATGTTCTCTATTCAGCCTGTGCAGAACTGTGACAGCCTCGCTTGAGTGGACAAGCGTTACCTGATAAAACAAAACACAAGAGTTCTCAAATTATAGCATACACCCTTTGCCTGCTATTTTTTATTTAAGATTAAGATCAAGGGGAAATTCTGTTTTTACACTCTGTTAATCATGCAACATGTGGTGGGGAGGGGACTTTGTGGCTTGCTCAAGGGCACCTAGGCAGTGCTCAGGTATCTCTGCAGCTACCAGACCAACTTCCATATTTCGTCGGCACCGTGACTTGAACCGGCAGCCAACCCAAGTCCCTACAGACTGAGCTACTGCTGCTACTGTATCATTTGTTTCATTTGTTTGTTTCAGTTGAATCAATGTTTCCAAGATAATTCATCTGTGTTTTTGGTGCCAGCTGACTAAAGTTAATAATTTACTTAACTTAAAAACGTAAGAGAGATTGATGGAATTGGTCAACTCTCTACTAGCTGGAAAGTTGAACTTGTAATACTCTAAATAACTGCGCGTGGTGGCAGGCGCTCCAGTGTGTGAGTGTGTGTGTGTGTGTGTGTGTGTGTGTGTGTGTGTGTGTGTGTGTGTGTGTGTGTGTGTGTGTGTGTGTGTGTGTGTGTGTGTGTGTGTGCAGCATGTTGGTGTGTCTCACAGTCATGACGACAGAGAGAGGAGCAGGGAAAAGTAATTGCAGCTACATAAAATGCGCTTATTACTCATAGTTTTTATGACATTTTGGTAAAACATTTACCCGCCCAGTGGCAGATAGCACTCTGAACTTTGGAATTAAATGACCTACAGGACAATAACATTAGGTGATTCCTTTACCATCACTTGTTTTACAATACCATTTTAAGCCTTGACCTTTACCTCAACCTGTGCACTTCCTTCCCAGAGTAAAGGGAATACAGCAGAGTAGGAGCCATTAAGGTGATCCACCACTCGCCCGGCCACACCTGCTTCAAGTGCCCTGTTGTGCAACCGGGCAAGTAAGACATCTCCTCCAGACTTCTTGGGGTTTCCTTGGAAGTCGTACATTTGTATCATAACTTCCAGCTGGTCTCCTATGTGCCGCTCTACTCCACCCCTCCCTGGGAGAATGGTGAAGGTGCTGTGGGCGGGATCACTTGTCTGGTTTAATAAAAAAAAAGGTGGCGGACGTGGAGATTCAGGCCAAGCAATGGAATCTAATAACAGGCGTTCCTCCTCAGCATCTGCCAAAGACAGTGGCTTAAAGGTGCAGAAATCATCAGGCCTGGGAGGAGCAGTGGTAGGAGCAGTGGGAGGAGCAGTGGGAGGAGCAGAGGTCACTTTCTTAGGGACGATGGTAGAGTTTTCTTCATAATGTAGCTGGAAAGGGGTTGAAAAAGAAGATGGTGACAAAGACGCATCGAACAAATTTACTTCAATAAAATAAACTGAAAGAAAGATAAGTGATTTTTCTAAAAGAATAAGGATTAATCATAACTGTTGATTTGTAAACTGTAAGCTGCTGGAAGTCACTGAAATGTCTCTAAAACGATGCCTAAGGGCAATAGTCTTTTACTAGGGGAAGAAGGCAAGAAGCCCGGGAGTTTCATTGCTCTGACCAGCCTATTGTTCATATCCTTTCGCTGGAGATATATGCTATGATTCTAGCTTTAGTACATAAGTCTGAAAAAGTGCATTATTATCTACAACCTTGTAGCTTATTAAATCGTGTATTTGATTTTTGTTTTTTAATTGTAATTTCCAATTCAAAGCATTAGTCTAGAGCAGGGGTGCCCAACCTTTTTTAAACCAAGATCTACTTTTAAAGTTGCCAGTCTGCAGAGATCTACCAGTCCACACAGTGAGCCGTAGCCTTTACCGACAGCCTCCAAATGCATTTAATACTCACACAACAAACAGAAAATAATATCAGATATAATAAATGAGAGTTCTGTAAAAAATAATGCAATATCGACATACTTTTTTTTAAACTCTTATTTTAGGGTAGGCTACATTTTAATATTAAGTTTGTATTTATATCACATATGTTTTCCCCTTAATTTAGTTTACAACAAACAACTTTAATCTGTGTGGAGATGTTCACAGACTACAGCAGGCTGCTGTGAGATGATTTTGCTTTTGTTAAATTAGCTGCAGACACGGTGAGAGTGAACGGAGTAAAGTCCAACCGACTGTTTGACCGGGTCACGTGTGTTCCCGCCTCGGTCCGTACGGATCACGGATCAACTGTGTGCTGTAGCACTAAAAGTAAAAAGTAAAAAGGTTCGCGTGGTGGCTGGCGCTCCAGTGCAAGTGTGTGCGTGTGCGTGTGTGAGTGTGTGTGTGTGTGTGTGTGTGTGTGTGTGTGTGTGTGTGTGTGTGTGTGTGCGTTTGCGTTGTATGTTGGTGTGTCTCGTCCCCCGCGATGCTCACAGTCATGACAGCAGAGAGGAGCAGAGAAAAGTAGCTGCAGCTTCATCAAATGCGCTTAATACTCGTAGCATAGTTTCTATATATGACTTTTTGGTAAAACATTTACCCCCCCGGTTTTACCTGCACGTCCTTGCGCATGCCTGCACTCTCTCTTGCGCGCGCACTCTCTCTCTCTCGCTCTCTCGCTCGCTCTCTCATGCACGCAGCAATTTCATGAATAAATGAAAAATTAAATACAAACAGGTCGGAAGTATACTTGGGCTCCCAACACAGGTATCGTGTGTGGGAAACACTGCAATGAGATGAAATTGAAATCACTTTTCTATTTTACAATTGTATTTTATATTGACTAAACATCTCGATCGACTGAGAATCAGTCAGCGATCTACCTGTCGAGCGCGATCGACTGTTTGGGCACCCCTGGTCTAGAGTGTTTCTCACAGGATTTTATGAGGCTATGGCAGGAGGACACAGAACCACCTAGGGGGTTCCGGGGGCAAGTTCTATTTTAGATGTGGCTGTGGCTCAGTTGGTAGAGTCGTCATCTCTCAAGCGCAAGGTCGATTGTTTGTCCCTAGCTCCTGCAGCAACATGTCTGATGTGTCTTTGGTCAAGACACTTAACCCCTTCGTCAGCGCCGTATGAATGGGATTAGTTACTTCTGATAATGTCACTACATAGCAACCTTTGCCGTCAGGGTGTGGATAGGTGTGACATGCAGTGTGAAAGCGCTTTGAGTAGTCAGAAGACTAGAAAAGCGCTATATAAGTCCATTTAACAATTTTGTGCTGCTGTAGTAATTAAACAGAAATTGTAAATGGACTTGAGCTTATATATGACTACTAGCACAGTGGTTAACTCTTATCTTCATATTGCATATAAATTGACACAGAAAGGCCTAAAGACACTTATCTGACATTTAAATAAACAGTGTGTTGGCTATGTTATTCTTATTTTGTCCAGTCCTGACTGAAACAGCTTTATACTCATGTAAACATGATGTAAACACGGCTCCAACAACAACACAGCCAGCAGGACTCTGCTTCTCACTAATAGACAGTCATGACTCAGAGAGACATTTACAGAGGACATACTTGATTTCTACTTTATTTATGTGTAAATTGTCGCACAGATCTTGGTGAATGAGGCCTTTTAGTAAATTAAAAGACACTGTTGAAAATAGTACCCTTTAATCTGACTCACAAAAAAACATTGTTGCCACTTATCCCAGTTCTCACCTGCAGCAGGTCCATGTTTCTTAATACAAAGAACAACACAGTCAGAAGGAGAAGGATGACACAGGTCTTCAGAAGTTTCATGTTGACATGATTACTTATAAAACCTTTTAGCCACATGGTGAGTCCTCTGGTACTGGATTAAAACAACAAAAAGGGGAAACAGACTCTGTGTTAAGTTTATCATATGAATTCTTCTGGAAGTCACTTAACTCAGTCATAAAATGAAACCTCTGAATATTCATAGTGTCATCATGTCTACCTTTCAACATCAAACTAATCTTGTCAATCGAGAATGTTATAATTATATGTTACCAAACAGGTAGTGTACAACAAAACAACTTTTTGGTGCTAGAGGTTTGACAGGAACATAATTACAATGTTCATACTGATGGTCAAATTCTCACAATCAGGTGTGCCAAGGTTACATGGTCTTATGAAATGTACTGAAGTCACTTGAGGACAAAAGGTTGACTTAAGGTAGGGTTAGTTTACCTGCAGGCACGCAGTAATGGAGGCACGAAGGAAACATGTACATTTAGTCTAATCAATCAATCAATCAATCATTTTTTATTTCTATAACCTCAACTCATAACAAGTGTTATCTCGACACACTTTACAAAAAGCAGGTAAAAGACCTTAATACCTAACTAAAGATTGTTTTTAAGTAGACATTTTAACTGGTACTATTTTGTTACTTTATACTTTAACACATTTACATTTCAGATTCTAATTCTATTCCATTTATTCCTCAGTGTTTTCTCTTCAGTTTCACTTGTTACTTTGTAGATTAAAAAATCAATGATTCTAAAAATCATGATGTATAATTTTAGACAACATTAAATTAAGCTCATCAACTCTGTGTCTCACAGCTTCAGCATATATGATAGCATGTCTACAGTAATTTAATTGAAACTGTTCAAATAGCTCATGCTTACCGAATGACGACACTTATTTTTGGGTATTTAAATATATTTTGATGGCACTGTACTACCTCTAAATGGAGGACTATTTTTAACTAGATTTATCAAACTGAACATGTGCTTTTTAACTGATGGGATCATAGATTGATAAAGTATGATATATGACATGGGGTTTTATATCAGAGCTTGAACTCAAACAGTGAAGAGTATTTCCTATCCCTAAAGTATCCAGTAACAAAACAAGTAAATGTGATACAGGGGTTCAATTAAAAACAAAAATCAGAAGCAAGAAGCTTAAAGCATGCAGCATAAAAGAGGTACAGAAAATGTTAAAAAAAATACCTTCAAAGTAGACACTAATGGAAACATGTTGTTTTCTCAGCGTCTATAAAATGAAACACAAGTTTCACCCAAACAAAATAAAGAATATTACAGCTTACCTCAGAAGAGATTAATTTGGAGTGAACACAGTGGTGAAATCTCTGTGATGTGACGGAAATCCAAATTAAAAAAAGTAAACCTTTTACTCAGAAAACAAGACAACCTGTCATAACAAGAAGCGTCAAAAAAGTGATAAAGAAGCTTCATAAAGTCATCAAGGTTAGAAGTTCTGTTATCAAGACGAATGATGCCCTTCATAAGAATGTTGCCTCCCTACATTTAACAGTTGGTTGCAATAATATAAACGCCAGCTGAACAACAACTGAACAGATAAGAAACCAGTTTGACAGTAACTGAAGTACGGGCCTGAAGCATAAACTCTGCAAAAACAACGCATCTCCATTGAGTGCTGAAATATGTCAAGGTGGTGGAGACACCCATATGGAAAAGAAATAAAAATGTTTTACTAAATGTTTATATCTTTAATCTGAAACTTAATACACGCATGACAGGGATGGGCAATATTTCTGGATTTCATGGCAGATTTTGTCATGTTTTCTTCATGGTTCCAATTAACTGATATGTAAAAATTGACCTGAGGGCCTCATTGAGGGTTGATGGGGGCCACCAGTTGCCCACCCCTGTGCATGACAGTCAAACCACGTAAAAGATCCAGAATCCAGTTTTGTAATGTTTATAACTCTTTAAAAAAACCTTTTTGAATCCTTCTGTGATCATCAACATCAGAAAATGATCTTGTTTTGTGACTTGTATACCTACAACATGTGCTTTATATTTCACAATCTGAAAACTCTGGCCAGAGCACTATTAAATCAGATCATATGTCATTGTTGAATTTTAGTTACAATATATTAATCACATCAGCACTAAACAAACAGTAGCCTTTATTTAAGACTGATCATTACTACTTACAACATACATGATGCTCTATAATCCCTCAGCTATAAACAGACACCTCCTTACACAACATGATGAGAGCAGATGGTGAAAGGTTGAGAATGACATGTTAAGAACATCCTGAACCACAGGAATGTGGTCTTTCAACATGGTTCGTTTGACTGTAGTGAAAGGTGAGACTGTTTAGAGCGGTGCTCGTTCATTGTTCAGGTGAAGCTATACGTGTTCTTGTATGAGGGGTTAAAGTTATACTGGGGAGATGACTGTACCACAGTCATTTGAAACAACTGTAATTAAACCTCATCAATTTAAACACATTGAACACATCCCTATCTGGACTGCACAAAGACTCAGCCACTCTGCTGCTTCTCTTTTTTATACCCAATCATGATTCTCACCTTTTTCCTGTTAACCTTATTAACTGTGAGATGTTCCATCTCGCCTGGGCGAGGGTGTATGATGATTGAAAGACCCGAAACACCCGATGACCCCAGGTTACATCACTGATGATGTGTTCAGGAGCATCCACGAGATGTATTCTATCAATAGCTGTTATTGAAAGACTTTCTCAACTCTTTGTCCCCTTGTTGCAACTTTCAAAACTTTTTTTAAACATGCTTTCAGCCTCAAATTTAAAATCGGAGTCCATTTTTCAAACATTGATAGAATTTCTCAGATTCAACATTTGATATGTTGTCTTTGTGCAATTTTTAATCAGATATGGTGTTTTAACCTTTTTAAAAAATAATCATCACCTTCTATTTTAATTTTAATTTTACACAGCATCCAAACTTTTAGGAATCAGGGTTGTAATAATTAACAGCATGAATCCTCGACTTGAAAGGTTATCTGCATGATTCACAACCTTGCAATGCCATTTGTTCTGCGTTATGAACCATTATGAGGCACTATGCACCCAGAAAGTATTTTCTGAAGATCAGACGAACGTTAAAAAAAGTCATCATACTTCCCTGATATCATCAAGTCCCGGTAGTAAAGTAATCCAACAGGATTAAAGATATGGATAGGATCAAATCTTGAAATCAGGTTGTTTAAAAGAGAAAAGGAAAACATGATCAGATAAAACCAATCCAATCCTGTTTTGTTCACTGGTAAAACCTTCAGTTTTTGTTGTCTAAACTTCTGACTATATGATTTCTTTAATACAAAAACTCAGGATTATGGTGATACCAGCTGAGTGCTGGATTCAGGCTGGATTACAAGAAAATGTCAACTATGACATTACATATCAAATGTGTTGCAGCTGAGAGGTTCTCTCAACTTGTGTGGATTGTGGCGCCCCCCTGTGGACGAAGTATGCAGTGTGAGGTCCTATTTAGAGCACTGCTGAACCTTTTAGGCCAAACAATAGAATACTTTGGTTCATCTATAAAAGTCACTGTTTAGATCAGATTGAGCTAATTATGTTTTTTTTTAAATTTTTAAACAAAGATGAAAGTGAGTTGGACTAGTGATCCTGGGTAGGTAAAAGTGAAAAAGAGTGAACTGGACTCCTGGATATGAAAAACAATTGGACTACCTAATCCAGATCATTCTTATCTGGATTCATTTGAAACAACTGGGCTCAGATAATTCTTAAAGGATAACATCTTGGGGATATGGAGGTAGAGTGAGGCAGATGGTTCAGGAGGTATTTCAAGTATCAAACACAACAAGGCACTTCATATTGACTGTACCAATAATTCTTTAAATGCAGAGTCAAATGTCACATTTTAAGAGTATTTTAATGTCCAACTGAATTTACATTTGACCTTTTAACTGATCAATAATGTAAAAATGTGTGACCCTTTATTTTTTTTTACGTTGATGTTTTTTGTAAGCAGGGGTGTGTTCAGACTTTTTGTGACTGGGTTGGCCCAATTGGTGCAACAACGTATGCAGGGATGGCATCAAGTATGTGTGTATGTCATTTATGCATTTACCCTGTCTGTCTCCAGTACACATTTTCTTTAATTACTACTTACAATATAGTATCATACAGATGTTATTCAATGTGTAATATTTCACGAGACTAACACAAATGAGTTGAAATATCATCTTTTCAGCTTGAATCTTTAAGGACTAAATTTAGCTCCATTAAAATATAGAAAAAGCTCCTCACAGCTTGTTGCTTCACAACCCATCAAGTTGATATTTATAGAGGCTTTATATTAAGTTTATTATATGTCCCACCTCTGAAAATTAGATTTAATTTAAAATGTGTTACTTTAAACTGTTGAAATAGGTCATTCTTCCCAAATGACTACACTTAAGTTTGGGCATTAAAATATGTTTTGATGGCACTACTTCTTTCATATATAAAAATATAAATAGAGGACTATTTTAAACAAGATTTATCAAACTGGTCAGATGTCTGTAACAGATGTAACCATAGTTAAAAAAGTAACCAGTAAGAAACCAAGTAAATGTCATGCAGAAGTACAAAGCAGAAGGAAAAAGGGTAAAGAAAAACTTTACAAATACCTACAAAGTAAACTCAAATGCCAACATGTTGTATTCACATCGGCTAAGACATTAGGGTTAGGTAGGGTAGGGTGTGCAGCGTCCTCTAGGGACGCTACGAGGGGCACGGGCACTCGGGGGACAATGGTTATTAAATATGTTTAAAACCTCCTTAAAAACCACACCGCGGTATTTTGATAAAAGCCCTCTAAGACAGTTCAAAATTTGGATAAAAGGGTGACTGGACCACTGTGGCGGCGCTATTGTTAATTAAAAGCCTCCGGTGTCCAAGGGCCTCTGATAAAACCATCTGAGGAGCATCCAGACGACGGC